ATTATAGAAAAGTCTATATACTAAATGAATTTAAAAAAAAAAAAAAATTGTAGCACTAGGTGGTATAATAGGATTTGATTTAATTAATACCTTGTTAATATTATTCGTTGCAGGCTACCGTGCCTTCAAGTGAGAGGCATCCATCAAAAGTGCCAATGTGGAAAGGAGTTCAGGTTGCATATGGCATTATAGCTATGTGCTTATTTCCCCTTGCAATTGGTGGCTACTGGGCTTATGGTCAGATGGTAAGCTAATACGCCTAAAAACACAAGAACTGTATATTTACTTTGAACTTTGTATCTTTAACTTCAAAATTGATCATCCCACCTTGCAGATACCGGCAGATAATGGCATACTATCAGCTCTTTACGTTTACCATTCACAAGACGTATCACGATCAGTGCTTGGGCTAATCATCTTATTAGTCACGATTAACGCGTTAAGCTCCTTCCAAATCTATGGGATGCCAGTGTTTGATGGCATAGAATCTTTATACACCAGCAGAAAGAACAAGCCATGCCCATGGTGGCTCAGGGCAATTTTCAGAATTTTTTTTGGACTTTCATGCTTCTTTGTGGCAGTGGCAACTCCATTCTTGGGAAGCCTGGCGGGTTTGCTAGGAGGCATAACACTGCCTGCCACATTGGCTTATCCTTGCTTTATGTGGGTAAAGATTAAGAAACCAAAGCAGTACAGTGGAATGTGGTGGCTTAACTGGGGACTCGGCACGTTAGGTGTGGCGCTGAGCGGCATGGTGAGTGCAGCTGGGTTTTATGTTGTCATTGAAACTGGTATTAGAGTCAGTTTCTTTCATCCCCAGTAGAGTATCATTTAGCCTGACAAAAAGATGTACAAGCATAAAATTGAAAGTTTATAATACACCTGAATCGGGCATAAATGTAATAATAATAAAAGTTGCACCTTTAAATATCATGTGACTATAATTTGTTAAGGATATTTAGAGATATGCTTTAATAGTTATTAACTTAGTTATAATAATAGCTTTTAGAATTATTATGTTAGATTGATTTAGGATATTTACGTTTCTTAGTCAATAGGTTACCCAATACCTATATATAAAACCTGTCCATGTATTCATTTTGACACACATGTATAATAAGAGTTATGTCTTTCTTTCAATTTTTACTTCCCTTTTTTATGCTTTAATTTCTTCCATATAGTTGAATGCCTCATTATTCTTGCATTGGATTATTTTGAACTGTTAATATATTCAATGTGATGCATGATGGAAGTAGAAACAACACCGAGATGTTGTGAACAAATACAATAGCAAAAACAAAAGAATCACAGAACAATTTTCGCCATAAGATCTAAAAACAGAATCAGCTATAACAATTAGACAAAAAACCCAACTTTCAAACAGAGCTCTAACCTAATTTTTGGAGGAAAGACTGGAACAAAACAATGCCCCCACAATATCAGTGATTCAGCAGCAACGGCATTTTAAAACATCTAGGAATGTATAGGGTCTCAACTTTTCTTCGAGTTCAAGCGGCGTGGGCAAAGGTTCAAAAGTGTATATGTTGGTTCTAAAACAACAAAAGTTGTATAGATTTCTGCAAACTCCTTTACTGAAAGGATATACTCGTTCTGGAACTCCCCTGCAGGTGACAATGATTAAACATATAAGTACTCGTGTGAATACAGGTCAATTGTCTGTTTTCAGCGTTTGCCCGACAGATCTGTGCCAGAAAATTATGTTGAGCTAAGGCTAGATAGAAATTCCTAATTTCTATTTTTTTTTTCAGTGACTACGTCTTGCCTTCAACATCAAGGTAAAGGGAACAAAAAATTGAAACTTGACTTACCACACCATTATTATTTCCCAAAGCCATTATAGACTAGGTCAGTTGAATTACTATGTGATATTGCATGTTTCAAGATAAATCTAGCATACAATTCAGACAAAGAGATGCTAGGCCAAAGAGAAGAAAGAGAGAGTGAAAACATTAACTACCTGAGGTATGAGATACGTCTACGTCTTACAAGCTCATAGGTAGTCTGATTCGTCAGAACAAGATAGCTGCAAGGCGAATGAATGATATCTAGGTTAGAACTTTGCTTATCCCATTTGAGTTCCCAATGGCAAATATGGCAAAGGAAGTCATCCACAAGCATCACAAAAATTTTGTAACTGTCAAAGTCAACACTATAATAATAATAATAATTTCAAAAAAAAAAAAACAGCTCAAGGTCAACCAAAGAAGATATCAGGTGCTGAAAATAAATAAGTAATATGAATGACCACAGTTACCTGTGAAAAAGTAGGAGCAGCAGCAGAAAGATAATGAGAATTGACAAGAAAATCAACAGCACAATCATGATAACATCCTTCCACCTGTCAATGTTTTCCAGTTCCCATTTAAGATTCAAGTAATAATATAAGCTAAAGAAAGAAGTAATCCAGCTGCCAATAGTTTCACATTTACAATTTGAGAAAGATAACCTACCATGCCCTAGTTATATTTGCCTGGAGGTATGTAACGTAGAAGATAGCAGTCCAAAGGCCTAATGCTGTCTCTTCACAAATGTACCACCTAATGACAAATACAGAAGAGATAAATATATCCTAATTCAGAAAAATACATTTGAATCATTATAAAGGAGTAATAAGAAGAATTCTAAGCAGTCTCAAAACATTAGCAATCTGAGGAAGGTCCAACTCACTATCAATAAAAGCAAAGAACAATGCTGTAGACTGTGGAAATCAAATTAATGGTACCAATGAGTTTCAATTCTTTGGAATCAGTTTATGATGAGAAGGGCACAATTTACAGCTAAACAATATAGACTCACACTCACCAAAACCGGCAATGATTGCCCTGGCCAATGCACGTCCCAATCCACACACAATGGTGATCAAACTGGAGAACACATCTATCACAATCATGACAATGCTTTGTTCGTGGAGGCTGCAATGTTGATATAAGTGACAATCAAATGTCATGTGGTAGGTAGTAAAAGATCATCTAAACGTGACACTGTTCTTGGGTATTTATGAAGGATTTGCATACAAGATCATAGTACCTGCTCAACATGACAATAAGAGCACGTAAAATTCCTGCAACAACCAAAAAAAATTTGTAATAAGCTTCCACTATATTCAGTAGATTTAGTCCACAATGTGCTTGGACAACATAAGACTTCAAAATGATAGCCACTGAAACAAGCTTATGTTAGTTTTATACAAAATGAAAAATGATACTGGAGAAGTAAAGAAGGTATGGTTCTCAAGCAGTTAGAGACACCTTAAAACATTTATGTCTGCTTATAATATGGCTATATTGTTTCTTAATGTTAGATGCATAAATTTTGCAAACTAAATGCAAGCTACATCTCTCTTTATGGTTTTAACTTCTATATGTTACGCATCTATAAAGGAAAACTTTCCAAAACCAAGAAAAGGGCAAATTTTATCTGAATAGCATTGTAATATTTCTACCTCTTGAACACAACACTAGAAGACTTGAAATATCATGGAAAAGATTTTTTATAATATAATACTGTTTTAAAACTATACATACATATGAAAGGGTGAAAACAAAAACTATCTAAGAAAACATCAGCATGAGATAATTCAAATGGTAGATTTTGGTACCTAACAGATGTTCCTGGAGGATACATGTCCATCACCAGTTTTGCCCAAGATGTCGCATTACTCCCTTGAGAATTTGTTCCCGATCCCCCTTCCACAGCAACAAGCAAGCTTCCATTTTTGCTTGAAGCAGGCTGTCTTTGCTTAAACATTATAAGATTATAAAAAACATTAAGATTCAGCCTAACATAAAAATACTTATTTTCTACATTTTGCATATTATCTAACCTTAGAAATATGGTATAAAGCACCAAGAGAGTAGAAAATGACTTACTTTGAGGCTAATGGAGCCTTTCTATATGTTACATTTCTCTGATTAACAGCCCTCATTGCATCAATGACATAACTAAAAGTAGAAAAACAATCAAGGAAAAATAAGTAAATAAATTACGCGCATCTTCTGCTCTAAAAATTGATCTGGGGAATAGTTCACTAATAACTACCCAGGAGAGGAACCAGCAGTAAGAAAGTACTGCACCAATGTGGCAATCCATAATAACAAATATAACGCAGTGTACCTGGTAAAACCAAGTAAAAAGATTAAATTGAATGCCTAGAGGTAAGGTTGCAATTATTAGAACTAAACAACATGAACCAGAAACAGAGTAGGCAACTAACACACTGGGTTTCAAAAGAAGGTACACCAAGACATCTCCCACATGCTTATACGAAATTGTTAAATAAGCCATTGAAGTAAGGCATTCTAGCTAAGTGCTTGAATTGAAACTTAATTAGTCTGCTCTTAGGAAACCCCATGTCCCTAGTTCTCCTAAAAATGTGTCCGAGTAAACATAGCCTAACTTCACCAATATGGCCAAACTTTCTAATGCCTTCATAACAAAGTTGGCAATAACAAAGCTGAAAATATAGATTATTTCCTTCCTTATCTGCATCACCCCATCATACTAACGTGAAAAAAATATGGACGACCAGCATTAACTGTTGATATCTACATTGTCCTTTAGGTACTGAGTTTAGGTTAAACCGGCTTGATGTTTGAATCCGCACACTATAGTTTCAGAAATAGCATTAATGTACAAAAATTCAAAACTTCACAGCAACCTCCTCAGTTAACCAAGTAACCCAACTTCAAACTTCCAATGATGACAAAGTAATGACATCTAATGCGTGCATACCATGGTTCTTTTTTGGTTTTCTCTATCAAATCATCATCGAAAAGGAAAAGAATTCCCGCATAAATCAGATGTAGCACCACTAGCGCCGCTCTGAGAACCAAATTAGACCGCCGAGCTACAAAATATACCCAAATTAACAAAGGAAAATACTAAAACGCAAAGCAAACGGGGAAATTGGAGAAAATGGTAAGCGAATCAATAAATATTGCATTTGGGATTTTCATGGTCATTCCCTCGGGAACCAAAAAGGATAAGGGAAAGAAGCGGAGAAATACCGGGATCGGCGAGGCAAGGGAAAACGTCGACACATCTGTCGAGAACTCCATCGCGAAGAGAGCGGCATAGACCCGCCACCATGGTCGTCGAAATGGAAACCAAAAACTACCAAATCAAATCATTATACGAGCACACCACTGATTGCCTGCCTCACAACGATTAGGTTTCCAGAATCCACAGTTTTTTCCTCTCTGCTTCAACCTTTTTCCGGGAAAGATTTTCCAAGGAAAGTGACGATGGAACGAAAATCAATGAAGGAAGAAGAAACAAGGTAACAAAAGCAGGTGGGAAGGGAATGGAAAATTGGATATAACTAGAAAATTTGAGAATTAAGAATTTTTTTTTTTTGTTATTGAACAATCTGTAACTTGATACTGATAATATTTATCCCATCACGCCTTGAACAAGTTATTTATTTATTATATATTATAATACTTTTTAAAAAATAAAAATAATTATTATCTTTTTTTTGAACAGATTTTACAAGTGGCTATGTTCGAATCCCAGCCTGAAGAGGGGCAATGCACTATGAGTAGCTATTGTTACTTGATCCAAAGGGTTCGGTGCAAAATAATTATTATCTTAAAAATAGTAATAATTAAATTTTAATATTTTAAACTAAAATTTAACATGCGTTTAAGATTGATATGAAGTACTGTAACTGTAATTGTAACTGTGATTATACTGTACTGTAATTGTGATTAAAA